GTTTCACACTAATTTTCAGAGTGCCAGTGTTTCAATCACGCCGATTCGTGTGTCTATGATGAGGAGCTTGATCGCAACAAATGGTCTATCACACCTGAAGGAGTCTACGAGGGTGGAGGGACGCTGTGTAGATTGCAAGGTAGGAACTCTCACACTGCTAGGATCCGCTTTCTGAGCATTGGTGCCAGTTACAGAGGCCAGGCAATTTACCGAATATGACCGGTGATTTAGGGGTGACTTGGTGGTGTTGGCCGTGAGGATTCACATTGAACCTTTGCAAATGACGTCGCTTGCGCGGCATTCGCATAAGGACCTAAGTGGTTCAATGTGGAAATGCTACACTGCGTCACGTCAACTAGCTAGGCAGCACGAGGTAGTTGTCGCTGCAACGTGGATCTCCCGACACGCATCCCTTTCTGCTAGGCAAGACTGACCCTCTTGCACAGTAGCTCTGAAGTAGTGTTATTTGTTGCCGTAACTGAAATCGGGCAGAATCTTGCCGAAAGTCAAAAAATGAAAGTCCCAAGCAAAACGCTCTCTGAGAGCGCGTCATACTTCGCGATCCGATCGCTTGGATCGCGCGATCGAGTGGCGAGGTATGAACGCGGTTGGACCGCGCGATCGAATGGGGAGGTATGAGCGCACCTGATCGCGTGGTCGGATGGCGAGAGATGAGCGCGCTTGTATCGCTCAAGCGCTTGGATCGCGCGATGGAATCGCGAGGTATGAACGCTCTCTAAGAAGTGGCCAAAGAAGGGAAACCAACATTGTTTTGCTGGCACAGCTTGGACTCAACATTGATCATCTTTCAGCACAACACTGAAGGATTCAACTGCGAGCGTTGCAAGGATGGCTATTACCGTCCTAGTGGCTTGTCGCATTACAGGTAAACTAAACCCCTCCATTATTTCAAGCGAGTTCTAGATGCACCCCTCTTTCAGGGAAGACGCTTGTCGAACGTGTGACTGCGATCTAACGGGCTCCGTGAGCGACGTCTGCATCAGAGACGACCAGAGCGCTCTCTCTGGACAGGTTCGCCACTGCATCCAGTAGCCAAAGACGCGGGACAGCCAATTGGTTGGGCTCGGGAAACGACGTCATTGTCGCGCTTCCCGCCTTCTT